GGTTCCCAAGGCCCATGCAGTCCCAGCCCCATTCACCATGGGGTCCTGCCAGACCCTCAGGCTCTGATGGCAGGGGACTGGGACAAGGACTAACCAGGAACTTAGGGCTATGGGGGCTGCTCAGGTGGAGCCATGCTCTCCATGCCAACGCTGCTCAGATAGGTGCCCACACTGTCCTGGCCACAAACCCCTGGGGCTCATGTGGCAGCGAGCAGGCAACTGAACTGTAATAGTGTCACTAGTGTCCCAGGGTGCAGAGAGGGGCCCCCTTGCCTGCTTCCACCACTGCTCAGGGCCTTTGCTTTGGTGCCTTCTGCCTGGAGGAAGCCGCTGGCTTTCCAAAGCCTTGGGAAGAAGGTGGAGGGGCCTCTGCCAAGCAGGAGACAATAGCAGAAACAGGTGCGAGGCTCCAGGCGCTGCCGCCTCACCCATCTTCCCTGCTCAGGGCTAAAAATACTTAAGGATGCAAATGGTAAATGCTCTGAGACATTTATCATAAATTACAGGTAGATGATTGTGAGGCTTTAGGCCAGAAGGCCTCTGGGGGAATAAATATTTCGATTCTTTAAAAGAAAAAAAAGAGCAGCTAACCTGATGGGCATCCGGTCTGGCTTCTGGCTGGATGGAGGCTTGCTGGGCATAGCAGGCTGGCCTGGCAGAGGCTGGGATGCTGGAGGCAGGGACACGGACCCCTCTGGCCAGAGGCAAGGCTCAGAGTAACAAAAGAGGATGCGGCCAGGTCCATAGGGACCCAGAGCCAGACAGGAGGGCACCCTTACCCCTTCTGTTGGGTCCGGACATTATTATATGAGCAGGTAGTACTGGTGTAATTTTTTTTTAGAATGACTAATTTTAAAAGAGAGCTATGATTTTCAAACAAGTGTGTATGTAGCTCTTCTGGAATCTTCTGTGCATGTGCCCCCTCGCTGGAGCCTTAGCCCAGCAAAAAGTCCTGGCTGGAGTGACATGGAGCTTGCGTGTGCCTGAGTGTCCTGGAGGACAGCACAGCCGCTGCCTCTGCCGGCCGGAAGCCTGATACCTCTGTAACTGGCCCCCCATGAAACAAATGTCAGTCCTAGAAATAATAGATTTTTTGCAAAACAAACTAGCTGAGATTCTGAAGAACCTTGGGCAGACTTCAAGACACCAAGACCCACCATCCCTCTCAACCCTCCCCTAAAGCAAATGAGTTACTCTACAACCTGCCCCAAAGCAAGTGGTCCCCCCTTTAAAAGTCCAAGATCTCCCTTAGTCAGGGAGACCGATTTGAGGCAGCTTCTGCTGTCATTCTTCATTGCAATCTTCATTGTCTTATCTTTGAGTCCCTGTGGTTTGGCCCGGAGGCCGGGGACATGGCTGCTCCTGCCTCCTGGGCCCACTTGGCGCCAGGCCTCACCCTTCTACCTGCTTTACCATTCACTCCGCAGATGACCAAGGCTCAGAATCCTGTCCCAGGACAGTCGCAGTCTGGGTGTGAGTCAGAGAAAAAGATGGGAACATCTAGTTGTCCCTCAAGCAGTTTAAGCCATTCCCTTCTCTCTTCTCTACAAAGTCCAGAGCAAATGCCAGGCACCAGGAAGACTTCTAATTTAATATTATAATAAAACCCGTGGGGACACAGAACCATGAACTGCATTGCAAATTCCTAGGGCTACTAACAAGCACAGAACTCCTGCTGGGGCTGTTGTCAGGACAAACATGCAGACTTGATCACTGCAGATGAAAAAAAGAGATGGAGCGTGGCCTGTGCCCACGGCTGCCTCCACCGCCCGGCCATTGTGGAGGGCTGGCCACCACACAGAAGGCAGCATTCAGATAACACCACTGTGAAGCAAATGCTAATGAGAGGAAACTCCTGGAAGAAGCAAATTTAATCTTCTTTTCCTTTTTGACACCTTTCTTCCCTGTCCAAAGGGAGGTTCTTAATTGAAGTCTGCGATGGGGAAAGTTCTGTTTCTTTATTACCAAGTGCCCTCAGCACGCAAACGCTCTACTTTTTATTGTAGATTAGGCCTTCCTTTTTCCCCCTTGGCTCCAGAAAGGATAAGTGATTACAATTCTGTTATCTTCTAGATTAAAAAGGTGAAGTTGACTGGGTCAGAGCCGTTCCCACTGCAGTTTGACAATTGGGACGACAGCATAACTACTGAGCAATTTTTTGCACTATTCAAAAACTCACTTTTTTTTTTTTTGGCCAAAGAATTGGTCTAACAAACACGTCCTACCCTTGCTGAAAATCATTTCTTTCCCCAGCTCTTCTAGGAATAAAACACGTTTTAAATGTATTTGTCAGGAATTGACACTTCATTTAATAAGATTTTAAAAGTGACAATTTTTAAAGAGCAATTGAGAAAAGTCCCATATCCATCATGGCTCATGGTTCTAACTAAAACCAAAAGAATAAAAACAGAAAAAGCACTCAGAAAACAGGAAAACAAGTGTGTGTGCATGCGTGGGAGAGAGATGTTTCTATAGCTGCTTTTATGCTTTTATCCATGTCCCAAATGCTCACAGCAAGACCCACTCCTGCCCTGCCTGGTGGTGCCTCAGTCCACCCCGAAGGCCCTACCAAGACCTGTCAAAGGTGACTTTGGAAGCTTTCCCCCAAAGCCCCAGTGACGTTTTCTTTCTACTCTCCCAAACAAAGTGATAAAAAATGAAGACAGGGGTTCTGGCAACATCCCATTTCTTTGCTGTCTGGGGACCTGTCTTGCCCACTCATCCCTGTTCCCTGGAAATGAGCGCTTTGCCCTGTGCCTACTGTGACACACCTTGACAGTGGTGTCCAGGCCCAGCTGGAAATACACGAGCCCCTGCCCCAAATTAGAAGGCACAGCAAGGACCCTCCCCCAGCCTGGCAAGGAAGGCAGATCAGATCCCTCCGGAGTCCTTCCCTCCAGCATAGCAGGGGTGGGGGGCAGGACCCTGCCTTCAGTCCTTCCCCTTCACATCTATGGTTAGTGCCACAACATTGTCCCCTTACTTTCCTTTATTTGATAAAAGGCATCTTTATTGCAGTTGTCATTGTTGCTTTAGCTGGCCGGGCTGGGTTTGAACCTGCCAGCCTCGGTGTATGTGGCTGGCGCCCTACCCACTGAGCTACAGGTGTCGTACGATTATAGGCATCTTAAAGTGCCAGAAGTCAGGAGAGTGGTCTGGAAGGTGCCTCCACATAGGAAACTGCTAAGGGTAGGAGGGAGGGGACAGATACCCAGCCCGGCATCAGCCCACCCTCTCTTCCTCAGATCAGAAGTGTGCTCCAGGCCTGGGGCCTCTGGACAGGTGAATTCAGTGTTTAAAAAGAAGTCTTTGAATAGGTCTTTTGAATCATTTGAACTCTGCCCTTGATATGATTGATCTGGCTCCTCTGTCCCCATGTGGGCAGGGAATACACCTTGTAAGGAAGTGCTATGGGAGGTGGGGGGAAGGAGCCATCAGTGCTAATTGGTGACTGGGGGCGGGATGCTGACAGAGGAAGTGACCATGCAGGAGGGCCCCTATGGGCAGGTCCCCTACCATTTGCCATCTCCTGTATAGAATGCCTGGCACCATGCGGAGGAGAGGGACCTGTGGCTTTGCCCCCAGGAGCAGCCCCTTTCCACCTGGGCCATCTTCTGCTTTCTGCAGTTCTATGTTCACGGAAAGAGAACTTTCCCATTTAATCATGTAGTTGGATGCTCCCTTATAGATACATCTCTCCAAACTAAGTTAAACTAGCAGAAAACAGCTGACCTGCTGGCTCTTTCTACACCCCCAGCTAACGTGTCTTTGAGACACCAGAAAGCAAGCGTGGAGCCCTCAACCTCTCCTCTCTGAGGTAGCAGGACCACTGAGGACCCTGGGACCCCTGTGCCACTGGCTTGGCCACACTGTTGGGAGGACACTCTTAGGCTGAATCTGGCAGAGGCCAGAGTCTGGAGATAGAAAGGCAGAGAGCACGCAGCAGCTCCTGGGAGGGCAGTCGCATTGGGATGGAGGTCACCAAGTCGGAGACACAGCAGATCGAGCTTCAGTAGTCAAATGAGATCCTTGCAATGAGACTGGGAGAAAAGCTTCCTAGAGCAGCTGTTCTCCAGCCCCCAGGTGAGTCTTGCATTGTAGCCACCACCTCGGACACTCCAAAGCTGCCAGGCAGGGGCTGCCTCCGAAGCTTATGCTAAATGAAACCCGAGGGCAGATGAGCCAGGCGCGAGCCCCGGGCAGGCCAGGATTGGGATGTGTTTGTGTACAGACTTCTGACCCACAAATTAGCAGCTGGTATGGTGACTGTTTTCTTGTCAGCCGCCCCAGCTTAAAGGGTGGGTATGTTTCAGGAATGACAGGTTAATAACTCAGTGATTCGAGCGACTATTAACTCCAGTGTCCACAAATTGATTTGCCCATTGTGTGTGTTGTTGAACTTCCTCTGAGGCTTTTCCTCTTCGGACCAGGCAGCGTGACGGCTGCATCTGTGCCTCAGTGTGGAGATGCCAGTGTCCCTGCTCTCACTTGCGCTCACCCTTGCAAAACTAAGGAAGGGAAATTACAGCATGAAATGGGACTAAAACAAATGATTTGCTGCTTAAGCATTTCAAAAAGATCTGGAACACCTGTGATTCAGCAAATGGAGAATAACTAAGAGAGTAGAAACCATTCAGTTGCCAGGGTGACGTGCTCCACACAAGCTCAACGCTGTCTGGAAACAGCCTCCAGGTAACACAGGCCTGGTATTTCCTCTTCTGCTGGCGGCTCATGGGCCATTCTTGTGTCCAGCACGTGCCTATTACTCCTCCTGCTCCCTTGCTTGGGTTAGATTAGAGAGGTAGGGTGTTAATGGTGGACTTGATGAAGATTGAAGACCCATTTTCTCCCCCCGGAGACCAGACTGATTTGAACAAATTGAGATGAACAAAACAGTCCCTTTCTGTCCTTGGGAAAAAAAACCTGTCTGTGTCCATTTTTGTAGCCAGGTCTGCTCCTCCCTAGAAATGGGGTTGGTGGGGGCGGGGGTGGGGGTGGGAGGAGGCAGTCAACAAAGCCCCTGCTCAGGGAGAACACGCCACTTCCTGCTGTTGTTGGGGCACACCGAGTCCCACAGGCCCACTGCCTCCTTTATTGATGCTGCCGGTTGGGTGAGCGTGAGTTGGAACCTGGGCTGGAGGGCAGTGAGTTGCCGCCAGGGGCCCGCAGGGCGTGAGGGTCAAGCTGCTGACCAGCCGGACTGGTGTCTCCTGTCCCTGGTTCCTCGCTGTTTTCCTCCTTCTGGCTATTCTGCTGCTCTGGACACTCAAAGTGGACACAGTGGAACACCTGGGTGAGAAAAGGGAAAGACCGCATGAGTGATGGTCAGTGCGACTCCAGAGCTGGCCCGGTCAGGATCCGATCCTGCCTGGCTTTGAGGACTACCACGTGGGAGTGAGAGGAGGTCCTTTCCACTCCCAACTGCCCCCTGCCCCTGGTGCAGATACCTGACAGGACCAGAAGGTTATAAATGCATTTTCATCAGTCAAGATAAAATAAATGAATCAGTGGTCCAGTGGTCCACAAGTTATGGACATCATGACATGGGTTCCCATAAAGTGTTCATACTAGAGTCCTACATTTTTGCTTACTTTTGTCTTAGGGGCTCCTTTTCTTTTTAAATTAGTTTTATATTTGGCACTTGTTAAAAGTCAAGAGGAGTTGACTGTAGTGATGGTTGCATAGCTCTGTAAGATTATGGACAGTAGTTCCTCAAATATGTCATTTTGTTATAACATTGATGAATAAAATCAACTCCTACTTGGGGCCACTATCTGTCTGTGGGGAGTTTCTGCACTGGCTTCTCATCCTCCCGAATCCCAAGGATGTGCAAGTCAGGTTCACTGGCGTGTCTACATGGCCCCAGTCTAAATGAGGGTGGGTGTGCAGGATGGCGTGCTGCCCAGGGCTGGTTTCCCCCTGGCACCCTGAGCTACCAGGACAAGCTCCAGCACCATGACCCTTAAACTGGAATTACTGGGTAAATAATTATCTTACTTGTTTTTATTAATATTTCTTAAATATGTGTTGAGGTCATGTTTATTTCAACGTTTTCTCTCTTTTTTCGAGACAGAGTCTTACTGTGTCACCCTGGCTAGACTGAGGCCATGGTCCCCGCCTAGCACACAGCAAGCGTGAACTCAAGGTTGAACCTTGAGCTCAAGTTATCCTCCTGCCTCAGCTGCAGGTGCCACAATGCCTGGCTAATTTTTTTTTTTTTTTATTTCACTGGTTTCTACTAGAAGTTTTTTGGTCTTTATTTAGAAGTTTAGTCATGTTTAATTCTTTTTTTTTTTTTTTTTGAGACAGAGCCTCAAGCTGTCCCCCTGGGTAGAGTGCCGTGGCATTATAGCTCACAGCAACCTCCAACTCCTGGGCTCAAGCGAGTCTCCTGCCTCCGCCTCCCAAGTAGCTGGGACCACAGGCGCACGCCACAATGCCCGGCTATTTTTTGGTTGCAGCCGTCATTGTTGTTTGGCGGGTCCGGGCTGGGGATTCGAACCCGCCACCTTAGGTGTACGTGGCTGGCGCCTTAGCCGGTTGAGCTATAGGGGCCGAGCCAGTCATGTTTAATTCTTATTTATGTCAATTAGTAAAATCAGTTTTATTATACATCCTTTTGCTTAAAGTTGCAGTTTCTGAGAACCTATCAATGGTGCTAAGTGAGGACTGCATACTGAAAACTACTGAATTGTACACTTCACATGAGGGAATGGTGTGGTGTGGGAGTTACATCTCAATAAGCTGTTATTGTAAAAAGCCAGCAGGGCACTTATCCTGAGTAAAGTCCTGATGCATAACTTCCCTGGCTCTGCAAGGGCTGAACATAGACCCTGCTGGTGTTGTGCTGGGGAGTGGACTTCAACCCTCCATGGCTTGGGCTACCCTGAATAAATGCCCTCGGCTCCCCTCTGGGAGCCAGGAAAAGCTAGCTTACTGCCCGTCGGTCAGTGGAAGCACAGCGAACCCTGTTTTGGCACAAGCAGCTACCCTGCAGACAGGGCATAGCATGGTGCTCAGCAAGCAAGGGTGAGCCACGGCCCTGATCTTAAGAATATGCATCGTGGTGGGAGGTGAGGGGGGTCGGACGTGCAGTGTGAGATGTGGGTGCAGGAGAAGCGTGTTGAGAGGAACCATGGGTCAGTGTGGAGTGTGAGAGATGCTGGCCACCACCACCCCTCCCTCCAGGCCACAGGAGACTTTCCTCTCTCCACTATTTCACAACCAAATCCTTCTGGGGTTCCACTCCCTGGGTATCTGTCCTGTGCCCTTTGAAGGGCAGGAATCCCATTCTCTACAGGAGGGCTTCAGTCTGGGGGAGGAGGATTGACTTTCTAAGGAGCATACTGGCAGTTTTAAGGGAATCAATTTCCAGATACTCAAACTCTGTATTTTCTAAAACTGCCTGAGAGTATGCCTGATTTCACGGTGCCCTGGGCCACCTCAAGGACAGGCCTGCCTTTACCCACTGTTGCTGTGGTGTGCTGCCACGGAGCCCACAGACCTCCATGTGCCCCCTCCAAGGGGAGCCTTTGTTTATGAGGCACCAGCCACCACCTGGGACCCCGTGAGGGGGAGGCTCAGCCCGTGAGATGCTATGAATTCAGAACAACTAAAGCGGAAATGAGTAATGAAAATTCTTTTACATGTAACTGGAACTTTTCCAGAATTAGGAAGACATTTTCAAGATACAGTGGCTAAAATCCATGGATAAAACTTTTCCATAATTACTCTCAGCTTTGGCTTGCCTTATGCAATTGGTTAAATTCTATTTTATCAAATCAGGCCATAAAATATTTACCCCCAATAGTGAGTCAATCATCATCTTCTATCGTATAGACATATTTTTCTCTTATTAACAAAAACAATTATTTTAAACTCATGATGAAATATTTTACATCTTAGTCTAAAATGTTCAAAGGTTCAACGCTCTTTTGGGGCGTAGTCAAACAAAATGTTTGACAGCCATAGATAGCTCTATGGCACTTAGGAGAATCTCTAAGCCCTTGATGTAGTTCTTTTAAGAGGTAATAGGCAGAACCTAGAGGGGAAGGAGATGATGTTAGAGTTGGAAAATCTTCCAGGCAAGAGAAATAATTTGAGTGAAGACCTTGGGCTTCAAGGAAAAGAGGGAACTGGTGTCTGAAGAGAGATGATCTAACTGACAACTCAGGAGGTGAGAGGGGCAGAGTGACAGTGGGGAGGAGGCAGGGCCAGCGGGAAGGGGACATGGGGCCCTTGGGGGGGCAGTGTGGTGGGAGAGAGGGTTGAGGGGGGACAGTGGGGTAGAGGAGGGACAGCGGGGGTCAGTGGGGAGGAGGGATAGGGGTAGGGTAGATAGGCTAACACTACTCTCTACAACAGGGTGAGCAGCTGAGAGCTTTGAATAGGAGGCCACAGAAGCTGAGAGCAGGAGTTATGGTCCATGACCTTGAGGTGTTTAAAAAGAGAAATAAATAGATCTTGGTTATTTGTTAAAGACAAAGAATAGAGAAGGGGGATAAATGCAAGAGATTTCCAAACTAGGCTGAGATGAGCTGGCACAGGAGGCTGGAGCCTGGACACTGTGGGCCTGGGCAGTGCAGAGAGGGCAGAGGCTGGTAGCAGAGAGCAGATGGCCTCAGGGTAAGTTCTGGATTCTGAGGGGCCTGATAGCATAAAACAGCTTTAGGAAAAATGGTTTGGTGGGCCAGCGATGGGGCAGGGCCTGGGGCAGAGGACCAGCGGCTCCTGGCTGCAGAACAAACGCAGAGGGCAGCGCTAGAAGCACTGAGTTCTCCACGAAGCACCCCCACATCCCAAGGGCTTCTCTCTGGCTTGCAGACTTAGTCAAAGTTTCTAAAATTAGTCAGAGGCTAATTTTCATTTTACAAATAAGATGATGTAACTAGTAAAGCTGCTCTTAAACTTGGGTGCAAATGGCAAGACCAGATTGTAAGTGTATAACTGGATGGTAGTGATGTGCTTGGAAAGGACTGGCGGGGTCTGGACCCTATCTGGACAGCCACAAGTGCAGGATGCACAGCTGGCCCAACCTGGCCCTGGGCTGGGAGAATGGTGAGCTCACCCCTTCTTCCAAAGGGCCCACTGGCTGGTGAGGAGCCACTGAACTTTGGACCTGCCAGTGTTTGGTGAGTCCATTTCTGGGTAAGGGCCTGTTTGGTTAGAGGATGAGGGTACAGGTACCCAGCGTGGGTAGGATGCAGGGGCACCGGCTGGACACCTGTCACTCTCCCTGAGGGATGACCCGGTGAGGAAGGCAGGGCAGAGGCAGTAAAACCTGCATCCTCCTGGGAGCTCCCCCCAACCCCACAGCACAAACACATGTGATATATATACATGCCCTTCTACTGTGGAATAACGTTCTCAGAGAAGAAAATGTAAAATCAACTGTGGAATTACACTGAAAATATAAATTCCATGCTTACCTTCCTGAATCACTATTTTTTCCATATTCCTACTTCAATTCATTTATCAACCACTGTTTCAAATTTCACATTTTAGACTCTCATGTGAAGACTATGTGAGAGCACGAGGGTGCCTGGTCTGTCCACTCTGTCTGGCAGCTGATTTCTGTCCTTATAGGGGTGTGCTGGCTGCTGGCCTTGGCCTCCTATGGGCCTCCCACTGCCCCGCTCTCTGCTGTAGATGTTCCCATTAGCACACACCGTCTTCCTTTCCCTTTCTTTCTATTCTCCCTTCCTTTTTCTTTTTTAAGAGACAGGGTTTCACTCTGTCACCCAGGCTGGGGTGCAATGATGTTATCATAGCTTACTGTAACTGCAAACTAACTCCTGGGCTCAAGTGATCTTTCTGCCTCAGCCTCCCAAAGGTTACAGGCATGAGCCACTGCTCTGGCCTTTCCCTTCCATTTTTAAAAATAAAATCTCCCTCTTTGGGCCTATCTGCAGGCACTTGCCTGTCAAGGACAGACAGGTCTACGTCAGGGGGGAGGACCTTGTATGGAGATTTAAAAACTATTTTGGGCCATCAGCTCTGCCCTGAGCTAAGCAGGGTAAATTTAAAGAGTGGCAACTATCAATCCACTCCTCTTCACCACTTCAATATTCTTTGAGCTTTTGAAGTAACAAGACTTGGGGTAGGTTAACCCCGTGGTCCCACCGGCCTTGTAAGCACCCTACTTTCCATGAGAGGATAAGCTCTGTGGGGACAGAGAGCCCAGACATACCCTGCACCCTCAGCCCCCCTCCTCCCAAGTGTCTCCTAACTGATGAGCACCCTTTCTTCCCAGAGTCAAACTTGGTCCCCACCACTGCAAACACCACTCT